AAAATCATCTAAAAATTATTTTATTTTCAAGTTTGCGTCAGACCTCTATAAATCTAGGTACGGCCAATGTTCAAAAAAGCGTTGGGCGCTAAGTGGGCGGTGACCCAATGCCTAGTGCCTAGAACGCCTAATCGGGCCTAGACGATTTAATAGACGGTTTAAACGTTTTACAAAAATACATAATATATTAGATATATATAAGAAAATATATAAAAAACCATAATTTATAACTAATAAATTTTATATTGTATTTATATTCATTATTTAATAGCTAAATATATAAAATTTTACGATTTATATATAAAAAATTATAGTATTTTATTATAATAATACCATAATATTTTAGGCGGCAAAAGCGGTAATCGCCACGGTGTATAGGGGCCTAGCGCCTAAGCACCGCCTAGGCGAACGCCTAGAACGTTTTTTAGAATACTGGGTACGGGCCGTACGACACTGTTCCTCCATTCCACAAATTCAATTCCTCAAACACAAATGGTGTATTTCAACATTTTCAACCAATTCTTTTCCACAATTCCTCTGCATTCCACAAAACTCATGTCACCATTTAGACCCACCCTATAACTAAAATGAATATTTGTTCTTATAATATTTAATAATTGCTTAACAAAAACTATATTTATATCACCTTTCCTAAACAGCCCCACTTCGGTTTGGAATTATATAATTTGTAATTTTTTTAAATCAATTTTTGTTTTGTCAACCAAATTAAATACATTAAAAGTATATTTCAACCTTACGTACGTACGTCAACCCTATTTCGACCATACATGTCATATTAGAATATTTTTTGCAATACTTTTTATTGCTTTGACGTTATGCATATTTATAATTTCATAGTGCAAAATAAGATATTGTGCATATTATCGCATATTTATAATGTCATAGTGCCTAAACTATATGATTTTCTGTTAATTGCATACTTCAGTTTAACAGAAAAGAAACAATTAGTTCAACTTCAAACTAATCTTATGTATGTACTGTCTGTGATACATTACTTAAACATTTTAGTCGTAACTTATTTGCACACCAACCATCTTTATTTCACATAATAATTTAGTTTTATCAATTATGGTACTTTCTATATTCTCTATAGTGGTGACCCACGTGTGGGACTTCTTCGGAAAAGAGAAAAACTCGACGTGGTCAATGGCCTATCAAATCTCAAAGTCTGACCTTAGAGGCCTTTGGTTGGTCTTTGAGGCCATAGAAAATTGAATACATATATTATTTTTTATGAAATATTGTTTATAGAACAAGCGTGCATGTAATTATAAAATTTGGAATTCGATAAATATTGAGCGACATTATACATCATCAATTTTATCGTTTGAGGTTAAACCAATATGATATCTTAATTTATTCCATTCACTAAACGTCCGATCAGTATAAATTAAGTCCAACCCACTCACTTGAATTCATCTTGATAATCTATGTTTGTTTAATGATAGGGACGCTCACACCTGCATGTTATAAAATTTCTATGATTTGTTTCTCTTATCAAGATGTATTTTTTTGGTTAAAACTCTTATCAAGGTGTTATCGTATTTTCCGAGACACTGTGGTCAAGTGGTAAGGAGACGGGACTAGGTTCGATCCACCTGTTATGCGAAACTAAATCATATTATCCTGGATATCCACATAGATATGGATCATTGCTTTCGGCCCATTTGAATATCTGGAAAAGGGTCTATCCATAGGTTTGGGATTTATCCTGAATTATATAAAAAAAAAAGTTATTATCGTATTATTTTAGGTTTTCAATGATAGTGATTTTTTCGAGATGTCCAATACTT